GAATGCCCAGTTTCTGATTACTCAGAAATTATACATCTGTGGGGGGAGTCCATAAAAAAGCAGTAAGCTGTGATGGAAGGTTTTCAGTTTCCCTTCACTCCAAAACGAGATAGTTTCGATGGACGTGGAATAGGTCATTCCGACGGTTACTGCAAAAGGATGTGTTGGAAATGGCTCTACAAAGGTGGTTCTTTGAATTCAGTATTTATAAGGAAAACGATAGCTTATAAATGGGGTAAATTATTAAGTAATAAAATAGCTAGTATAGGCTTTAAATCAAATTGTGAGTTAAAAGAAACTATAGTTAGGTTTAACTATCACATCGTTTAGATTTTATCATAGCTTATGTGTCTTCTTAGTTATTGCTTAGTTTGAATAAAATACTCTACGTGTGTATAAAGACATATATTAAATCTATTTAATTTACAAAAAAGGAAATAGTTTTGATAGACGTGGAATAGATTATTCCGACGGTTATTGCAAAAGGATGTGTTGGTGATGGCTATATAAATGTGCCTCTTTGAATTCAGTGGGTTAACTTATTAGGTAATAAAATAGCTGGTATAGTCTTTAAATCAAATTTTGATTTAAAAGAAATAATAGTTAGCTTGAACAACCACATTACTAAGATTTTATAATAGCTTAAGTGTCAATTTGATAATTGCTTAGTTGGAAAAGATATTAAATACTTTACGTGTGTTTAAAGACTTATATTAAATACATTTAAATAATATAAATATAGTAAACTAAATATATTGTTCGCATACCTAAACCAACGAGTAATGATGCTTATCTTTCCAACGATCTACTCATTTATCTCTTTGTTAATTCGATAATTTTCAACTTTTCTAGGTTCCATATCTAGCATAATTTTAATCTTCTTCATCTGAACAATAAACCTACCAAAAATACATGAAACTAAATACCAATATTGCCCAAAACTTTAATTGTCCCCACGCATATGGCCATAAAATAAAAAAACCTAATGCCACAAAATCTCTTGAAAATCTCGACCATAACTCAATCACTCAAAAAGATCTGTCCGAGTTCCGTGGAATATGTCACCAACCTTGCCGGCCCAGCACTTTATTATTTATCAGCTATTTGGGATCGGTAACCCAATACAATGCCCCATACTCCAACTCAATTATGCAAATTACCGAGGCTCTAAACAAATTTGTTTGCCTGTCGTCATCTTTTCTGTGGCCGTTGTTTAATGATTTCATATTGGTCAACTCCGGCCATAACTTTCAGTGTGTTTACATGTGTATATATAGATGGACCACATGTCATGCGATGCTTTATCTACCAGATATAAATTAGTCGGACGACAGGTGTAGGCATCTGCGAGATGGTTGGGCAACAGGGGAAAACTTCACAGCATTTCCCAGCACGAGTAGGATGGAGGAAATTTGTTTAGTTTTTAATGCCCACTGACACTGGGCAGACAGAATGACATCAAGACCCGATGAAGATGACGATACTCCGCCCCTCGGGCTGTTGCCTTGTGTTGCCTTGTGTTTTCCTGATAAGTCACGTCTCCCATGTCATCGCATATTTGTCACCGAGTTTGCCTAATTGGAGTGGGCAGATGTAAGCTATATCTGCGCCGATGTGGTGGGCATTAGTTTGGCCAATTAAATTCGACTCCGACTTATCTAAAACTATTTTCCGGGACCAGAAACACAAAGCAAACCGCACCGAACATGCCCATAATCAGTTCAAACAAATCAACTTTCGCGAAACGAGAGCCAAACGAAACCGCCGAAACCATCGAAACCGCCGTTTGAAACCACCAAAATGCAACCACTTGCCTAGCAAAATGTGCACCACAAATGCAACTGAAAAGCGGGCAAAATCGGGGAAAATCGGGCAAACTGAAGGGAAGGCAAGTGTGTAATGCGGCGGAATTATTCACATCACAAACGGATTTCGCATTCAAATAGTTTTCAGATTGGGTGCGGCCTGCTCTAATGGCCAATGGCTAAGCAGATAGTTGTGGGTGATAAAAAAAAGATATGGCGGATAATCGAATCTAAATTCGGTAATTTTATACAGCCAGAAATAAGGTGAAACAGGGATTCAATGGCACAAAAAGGGGTAATAATAATAATATAACTTAAAGTGATAAAAGGTCATACAACTGAAGTTACCATTCTAACATTTTTCTTCTTAATAAATTAATAAGTATCGAAATTAAATAACATGGATTAATACCACTTTCGCAATTATTAAGAAATGATTACAATTGCAATGCATATGTTAAGAACTAATTAAAATAATAAAAGAAATGGAGCTCATACAATAAATATTAATTAATAATACTATTAAGATTCCTTAAGCAATGAAATAAAAAAATTACTTGTTTTTGATGGAAGTTGCTGTATTAAATATTACTTTCTTTGATTGAAATAAAAATGTAGATAACCATATTTAGAATGTTTAACATTGTTAAATGTAAATAGTCTTTGCAAAGAATTTTTTTAGTCTTTCACGTTTTAAAATAAATTGGAAATGAAAATAAGTCTAAAATAATGTTACTGTTTAATTCAACACCCATAGAGTTTGGTAAGTCGTATTTAGAATATCTTTTTGTGGATGTTCCCCGTTGAAAATGCAGCTGTTTACCCACATTTTCCGGGAATAACTCCATGAGAGCCAACACCTCTGACACTTTCCCCAACCGCGCGACACTTTCGAGTTGCAAACGGAAGTGCAGCGGGCAAAGTACTTACTTAGCCCGACTTAGCTCGATTTACTAATGCAGTTCACATCTCATTCACACTTTCTTTCGGGGAGAGGTGGGTTAAGTTGTGTCAGCTGTGTGAGATCCACACTTACACAAACATTGCACAAGCCGAAGCTAAATATAGAGAAACATGAGATAGACGGGGGATCAGAGCGAGAGGGAAGACCGCTAATGCGTAACGTGTGACAGTTGCTGTCATCCGGGAGAAAGAGATGGAGCATAGCCAGGTAGGGGTCTTTTCCTGCCCCTCTTAACCCCTGTCTGTCACTGGAATGCGTAGGTGCACATGCACAGCACTTTCTGGACTAATCTTTAGGGGGAAATCTGTTTTCGTTTTGTTGAAAATATTAAAAAGCAATTTCAATTCCTTCGGCATTTTTTTTGGTGTTTTTTAATTAACTCAACCCCCTCTCCTTGATTTTCCTTACCACTTGAGTGTCCACTTGAGGTAAATTCTTTGCTCAGCTAGAGAGCACTTTTCCTTTTTTGTGCGTAAATATTTGTTAGGAATGAAACACACTTTCCAGGCAACATGACACACACATATGAAAAACACAAATGCCCACATTCACTAATTACTCTCCAAGCACTTGAACTAGATTTTCACCCCCACATATTTTTAAGAACAGTGCAATGTTCTTATTGTGACTTGAGTCTGTTGAGTGACAGCTTTGGGTTAAGGTGAGAAAAGGACCTTGCCTTAGTTGCATTTTGATGACAATATAAACAGTATGATGAAATAAAAGCAACGGCAGCATATTTGCATAATAATTTAATACAGTAATCTAAGAAACATTTGAAATAAAGTGCCGAGCTTGAGGGGAATTTTCGAGTATGCACTTGATTAAAAAATATACTGAAGTGAACATCAAATAGTTTTTAACTGATTAAACATATATAATTTGTTTCCCAAGATAGACAAATTAAATATTTCCCGTTCAAAACAAAATTCAACTTGTGATGTAACTTTATACTTCAGCCAAATAAGACTATATAATGGCTATTTTTGTAACCATTATCTTTGATCCTTACTTCACATAATTATATAAACTTTAATCACATTGAATCTAGCGAATGTTTTGTCTGCATCCATCATTATTCCACAAGCATCTTTTTGTTTAAACAAATGCCTTCGGGCCACTTCAAACTGTTTCAATAAGGTTCGATTCGAGATCCACTTTAAATAGACGCACGTACCGAAAAACAAACAAAGCCAGCAACTAGAAATTACTGTTAACAACTGCAGCAATAACAAGATGCGTCAATATTTGTACATGCGTTGCATTTTCACGCCGCATAATTAGACAGTCGGGAAAGGCTTCACAACTGCCGCCAACTTCAATTTAAATGCAATGCAGCCAGCGACTGCAACAGCAACATTCACATTAATTAGATGGCAACCACAGTTAACAAAAAGGCCCTTTGTGCATTTATGCTAATCAACACTCGAGGGTTGGGCCCTGTCGAATAGAACGATGGCATCCGAAAAACTGAAAAGTCAAACCTGCCTGGCATTCCAAAAACGCAGTTCTGACCCACTTCAAATTGACCATAAAGGTGAGGAAGTGAAGAGGCGAGGCAGGAAGACCACTGAAAAACTGTCACTCTATTGACACTTTCAAAGATTCTTCGGAATTTGCATTTTAAATTGGATAGTGTAATTAATCTTATTTGTTCGTGAGGTTTTTTATTCTCATTAATTGGGATATTTGTACATTATCGAACAAAAGTTTTAAGTAAAAAGTTGTAAGGATATTTTAATTAATTTATAAAAAGGTAAATCAAAGCAAAAGTTTGCCTTTTTAACCTGCTGAAATAAGTTTCAAAAATCATGAACAAACTAACTTTTTTACTATAGAAGTTCTTAAAAAAAGTACAGTTAAAAACTTGTAAGATAGAAGAAGCTTTTCAATTATTAAAAAGCGAAAAATATATTTTATGAAATACAAAAAAGGTAAATAATAACAAATACTTTGTAAGCACATTACTGAGTATAAAAAATCATAAAAAAACGAATTGGAAATGAAAATCCTTCGAAGAGTTTCACCATCTAATAGATAATGTAAGATGTAATTATGTTTCCTAATTATTTTCCAACCGCACTCCAAATCAGAAATCATGGTTTTCCTTTTGAACTAATTACTACTTCCGATAAGAATGACAACCCAATACGATTGAAGCACATTTATGTTGCACTTTAATTGCAATGCATTCAACACCCTTCAATTATAAATTTCTTCCACTCACTCACCTTTCTAGAGTTAAATAATTGCAATACAAATATTTCAACCTTCTTGAAATTATGTCGAGCAAATTTCTTCAGGCTCAATTAATCCTTTATTATGATTGCTTGACTTGCACTTTGCAACCGTCTTTGTAATTGTATTGATGTGGTAATTTTAATTGAAAATTCCGTAAATTTGCACGCTTGGCAGGGCGCAAAAAAGTGGGGATGAGTCCCCTGACTTCTGCTTCCTCTTCACTTATTGAATTCTAACGCACTTTGGTCACACTTTCCGGCAGCTTTTGGCTTTTAATATAATTGCGGAATTTATTTTGCGGGGGTGCGAAAGTCGCTGTCAACGGTTATCAATCAAGGCAATTGCACACACACAAAGGGCCAATAAAATCTTTAAGGCAGCAGCACGTTTCTATACGTCCTCTGTTTGAATTTAATTCGGATAGAATTGCTTTTCTTTTTGTTTGCACTTCTAATTGTGTTTTATGGCCCAAAACTTTTAACTACCGTTTTAAAGCCAGCACGCGCACTCCAATTGGCCACCGAATTTTACGTAAATTTGTATCTCAAGCAGCGCAGATACACTGTTATCCGGCGAATCACCCGCGTGGGAACCGCCTTCGTCGAACAAATTTGGGAAACTGAAGGCAGCGAACAATCGAACGAACCACTTCTCTTGCATTGCTGGAATTAACAGGGGCACCGTTAACATCAAGCGGTTGAGAGCGAGTTTTGTATGGAAAGCTAACTAGAATTCTCGGCTAACAGTGCAGTTCGTATGGAGTTGTCATGTAAAAGAAGTACAAAAATCGGTTAACAGCGGGTTAACATGTTTTTCTCTCCTGACGAACGAACGCTCTCTGGTTTGTCGTAAAATCGCATGGGATAAATGTGCTAGTTCAGAGAGAAAACTACAATGAATGCCGGTGCATGGGAATTTTTCCTTTATTTATTGCAACAATCTAATTGGAGAACACATATTTTCATCTTATGTATGGTTCATTTTAATATAAATAACATATTTTTGAAAAAATTAACATTTTATTAAGAAGATGCATTTATTTTCATTACATTTTTTGTCTTGGTTAATGGAGAAATTAAATATTTTAAATAAAAAGACAATTGTTTTGTGAATTTCTTGAAACATGTAATTGTGTTATGTCTTAAGCCCTTTCTAATTTTTAAGAAATTTTTTATTAGACATAAAAGTAAAAGAAAATATAATTTAAACATTGTTGTTAAACTAAAAACATTTAGTTTCCTGATTTAAATAATAACATTTTATATCCTCACACTTGCTATAAAAATCCCTTGTATGTGGTTTCGTTGTTTTTTATAGTAACTCTCTCGCTCTCTGGAAGTCTGGCTCTCTTTGTGTTCGTTTAGCCTCGTTGTTGTTGCCCTCGCCATCAACAGCTGTTTTTTGTTTATTTCAATAAATTCTCTCATTGTCTGATAAGCACGTGGATTTTTTTCCCGATCCAACAGAATTTATAAAGCGGCCACAGGTAGCGGTAAGATAACATAGAATGTTAAGAGCACTGATAACAGGACTGTCAACACAAACATTTTTTAAGATTTTCTGAAAGCCGGAAACAATAATAACTTAATTATAGTTGATAAACCTTTAGTTGCAGAAAGCTGTAAATATTGTTAAAAATAACAATGTTATTTATACCATTTATGCCACAATATATTATTCTTTTTACCCGCACAAATCTCATTAATTAAGTAGCATCCAATTAGCTAAATAAATTCAGACTCACACGGAACGTTGGCCAAACGAAATGGCTCGCGGAATCGCTGAAGTCATCCACACAATCAATTAAAAATTTAAAAACTCTCAAATTATGAAGAAGTGGCGCCTACACACTCGCTTAGAAAATATTAGATATTCTGGTAGCAGAATACACTTATATGGAAAGGGGGAAAGTATCCGACAACTCCCCATATTTGCTAAATCAGCAAATGTGTCACCCAAGAAGGGTGGGCAAAAAAAGTGCACGGGAATTCTGCTTGATGTAGAATGAAACGCATTAATTTGGCTCGTTATGATTATTGCCACGCCATGCCACGCCCCCTCCAGGACGCCCCTTGTTCGAAGCAGAAGGAGGACAAGTTACAGAGAAAAAAATTGGTTTCGTTTGGTCCTGATTTACCATTTATTAAATACTTATATTTATTTCTTCCAGTAAATAAATAAATTTATTTTTAATATGATTTTGGTAATTTTTCATTATCGAGTTTTAATAACTTTATTTTTATAGATTTAAATATCTACGCATTTATAATCTGATTATATCGAGTTTTTATTCTTTCGATACATTGAGTCCAAAATTTCCAACAATTATAAATACAGCCTAATGATTGGAATAAAACAATAACAAGAAAAAATAGCTGTAATATTGACATTATAGTATAAGATAAGTGTAAACTAAAATATATTTGCTATGAATGGTACTTAATAATAATATTTAGACTAACGAGAGGGTGTCTTTTTTTATATGCGGTCAATTACCAAAACAAGAATTCCTTAACTAAGATTTAAATTATTATTCAAACAAAGTTTTCTAGGTGTAGTTTTGGAGTAGACCATATGGAAATGCCCTGAGTAATATGTTTGTCTGACTCTGCACAGACCAAACTCTGACCCTCATTCAGTCCCCTCTTGCACCCCCCTCCGCCGGCCCCTGGCCACCCCTTTTTAGAGGGGGGAACCACCGCCAAAGGCGCACGTTAAGCGAATCGTGCACACGCCCCATGACGATGATTAATTACCTTTTTGGCTGCTCCGTTCGCCGTTGTCTTGAATGTATCTTTGTATCTTGTATCTTGTGCACATTTCACTTATGCACGCCTCACGCTTTTCGGGGTGGGGGGCTTGGAGTTCTCGGGAGGGGAAACTTCGCTTTTGGGGGTTCGTTTGTCGCTGATGAAGTTGTATTATTTATCGCAAAATGATTTTTCGCACTTTCCGCGTGTCTTCGCTTGTCTCCTACGTCTTCTTTGCTGAAAAAGGTGTGGAAAAAGAATGAAAAGGACAAGATGGAGAAGTTGTAACTATGGAAACGGATGCTATAACTTAAGTGGGGCTTAAAATATCACTTCAGGAAGTTGGCCACTTCGGACTATTTTTTATAATTAAATTTTCTTTTCTTATATACATTTTTTCTTTTCAATAATTCAAATTAAGTGACAAGTGCCTATTTATTCATTTATCCATGCAAAATTATTTTTGTCTCTTAATTATTTCTTAAGTATCATTAAAAAATCTCTGTTTTACCAATTTCACGTATCAACTTAAAATTCAATTGCAAAATTAAAATTGAAAAATAACAAAAATATTGAAAAGGTATATTTCTTGTACAAATAATTTCAATATATACGATATGTGGGATCAAAATCTACCACTTCTTATCCATAATGAACAACAACCTTTTAATATTTACGAACCGTACAAACCGCATATAAATTGGAAACCCAATGATCTATACAGATCTAATTTAGATCTGCTTTTAACAACCATAACTTCACGGAAGAATTTGGCCCGTAAATAATATACGACCTAGCCGTGGCAACTAGAGTAGGATGGGCCATAACTCTAGATTGCATTATCTTTCGTAGGATCTACAAATTTAAAAGACACATGTGTTGCTCCCTTTACTTTCAGCACTCCCGATGCCACTTTTGAACTGAAGTGAGAGACATATCAAGTTGCCCTATTCGAGGACTGCAAATCGATTGAGGAACCCTGGAGGAGTTTCTAGGCATGGGGGTTGAGTATTTCACAGAAATTCGAAACCGCGCAAAGTCAATGATCCAAAACAAACGAAAACAAAAGGGGCCACCACCATGATGGCAAAGAAAACAAATACAATAGGAAAAGGCAACAAAAAAGTACAAAATGCACAACAATTTGACATCTGTTTCAACAATTTCGTCGAGGATAAAAAGGAGTAAAAAAGTGAGGATGAAAAGGATGTCACGTAGATTGACTTGTACAGCAGACAAAAGGAGCCCGAAACTTCAACTCCAACTTGGGATCCACTCGAAAACTCCTTCTTCTTCAAAAAAAGCGAAATAAAATTCCCCTGAGTTCGTGTGACAAATGTCAAGGGTTAATGAGATCCCTTTTTCAGTACAGTTCGGAAATGGAGTTGTGTTAATTATCATCAACGGACGGGAGTTTAAACGCTTCATTAGACAAAACATTGCAGCCAAAAGAAAAAAAAACAGAAGGGAACTGAATAACTACAGATACGAGGGGTGAAAGCGATACCAAAAGGGGAAATGAGTTTAAACATATTTAGTGAAAAATTTGTGGACAACGAAAGTATCAAATTACCAAAACCGGGAGTTGCCTTCTAGTCTTAACGGGAATGGATTTTTTAGAGCACAAGCGATTGAGGGTCAGCGAAAAAGGGAGATTAATAGGCATTCAATTAGTCACTTTTTACATGGGTGAAAGATTGTAGATAAAAATGGGAGATAATATGTGTATATTGAAGATACATTTTGTTGTGAACTGATTTCGTTCCTAGAAATTTTATTTAATGTGATGTGATATGAAAGATAAAGTTTTTACATTTTATTTATGACTTTATAGTTTTTAAAACTATTTACTATTTTTCATGCCATTTCCAAAAGGAAGATCTTTTTACTTTTGAAGATCTTGTTTTAAGAAACCCAATATGTTATTTACGTTTTCTTCCCTTGGGCGATTCCCAGAAATCCTTTGCTTAATGAACTTTATTGTAAACTCTTTCAAAATATTTAATTATGGTATTTCTCAAGAAAAAGATCAAACCGACCAGCAAGATCATTAATACGCATTGTGTTTTGAAAAATGATGTATCTGCATGCCATTCAGTGCAAAGATGTATTTTAGCCGCTAATTGTCAAGTCGACAACACTTTGGCCCTTAATATGCAGTTTCAATAATTATGGAAATATTTCATTTATATTAATTAGCCAAAGCTAAAGGCAAAGAAAAAGAAGAGCAGACAAATAAGTTCAATGGGGCTCCAAGGTTCGCCTTTTGGCATGTGAAATGATTGATGGATTGGAACTCGATTGTCTCCACATGAGTCATTCAGAAAAGAGAAGCTTAGAGAGCGTATCACTTGCCGCAGTGACTCACTTCAGAAAACGGAACATAATCGAAATTGGAATCGGGATCGTAAAAATGCAATTGACAGAGGAAGGGGCGGAAAACAGCTGGAAAATACGGGGGTAGAAGGTCATGTTCCGACTTCTTCTTGTTTTATTGCTTGGAAAACAAAGGCCTAAAAGGAAAAACCGCTAGAGTAGCGCCCCATAAACTATAAAAATGTATAATCTATGACCACTTGACACGCATTAAACAAAAACAAAATAAAATTGCGGCGGCGGCATTCTAACATTTATTTTTTATGATCGCTTCCAATTTTATTTAAATATGTTCAGACAGTACAGATGAAAGATCTCTTTGGGCGGCAGAATTAAATCGATCGCCGGCTATCATTGTCCAGATAACGAGAACAATTCCCAACCCTTCACCGAAAAATGAAACCGAAACCAAAACTCATGTAGTTTTTTCATGAACTCATATACGGCTTCCGTCACACGACTAACTCAAATCATAAAAAAGTACAACAAAGAAAACTTTTTTCGTTCCGCCAAAAGTAACAGCAACAAAAAATAGGAAGCAATGAAAAAAGTAGAGGGAGTTACATTGTCAAAATCACGTGCGTGCCGGGATACTATTTTTTTCCAACTGGACTTGTAAATTTATTCGTCACATACAGCTGTCGTTCTTGTTATGCAGCTTTTCATGGGCTGCCCTATGTTTTTCACAAGGAAATTACAACTTTGTCATCAAATTTGGACTCGGAAAATAACAATTCGGGTAATAAAAGAACAATCAAATTGGCGGAAATATTCGCAAAAGTAAATGAGTAATAAAATGCATTAATATATTCAGTACTATAAAAACGTAAGCAGAACTGTAAGTAAAACTTAATAAATTGTAGTAAGTATAACGATGAATTGTAGAAAAGAAACTGGGTTTTTGGAAAAGTGGGCCCTAAATTTTATTTAAGAATTTTAAACTTAATATTTAATAATAAAATATACCATTTGAATCCTTCATTAAAAATTAGAGAATTTCATATATACTTGTATATTCCAAATATCTCTCAAGTGAAAATTATTTAAGAATGTTAAACTTAATAATTTATAATTAAATATACCATTTAAGTCCTTTATTAGATATAAGATAATTTTACATTCATGTTACAAATAGAGTATTTTTATTTTCAGAAGCATAAAATTATTTATCACCTTTATAATTTTTAACTTACACTCGGTGACACATAAATGATATAAATCTGCTGGTCGTCTGTATTTCGTACACCTCCATCAGAAATAATTAAAGGAGAATAAAACAACAGGTCACATTCAGCCATCAGTTCATACAAATAAAGTGCATCAGTCAGAATAATTTGGGGTGTGCGCAATAGTCATAGGCTCATGATTAAAGGATGTTTATTAAATATTCATATAAATGTCAATTTAAAGCTACTGCCTTGTTGCTGTCTCCCTCTGCCTGCTGTCACCTTCTCGCTCTTTCCCATTGATTGATTTTAGTCCAGTTGAGTGTCAATGCTGGCGGCTTTTTCGTTGTCTGGGCTTTGGTCGGCATTATTATTGATATTGCCCATGAATCCCCAATTGAAAGGCTTCCCTCACTTTGCTTTTTGAACTTTGCCGCCCTTAGGAACAACAAAAAAGGGTGAGTAAAAAACAGGAGGTTTTGGGGTATAAATAACAATAGATTTATTGCAAACAATGCATGAAACGCATTCAAATAGAATGAAATGGGCTTTGTTTGGTTTTGGGTTTTCCCCACTCTTTAACTAATGTTGAATTTGTATAACTTTAATTTAAATCTACCATTTATTATGGTAAAATATATACATTTTTCAACAAAAAATGGTTTATGACTTTATAACTAAATCAGAACAACAATTGGAAAATCATTAAAGTTTTTTATTTATATTATTATAAATAGACTTATTTATTTGCGCTTCAAAAATTAGTTTATAAAAGCCTAAAAAGAACACTAAAATATTTTTCAAGGGTTTTCTATTGGAACATGTCACACTTTTAAAACTATTTTTTATACCCTTGCAGAGGGTATTATAATTTTGGTCAGAAGTTTGTAACGCAGTGAAGGAGACGTTTCCGACCCCATAAAGTATATATATTCTTGATCAGGATCAATAGGGGAGTCGATATAGCCATGTCCGTCTGTCCGTCTGTCCGTCTGTCCGTCTGTCCGTCTGTCCGTCTGTTTCAATACCGTTTGTGAGCTCAGTTTAAAAGCTAGCGATCTGAAACTTTCACACGCGTCCTAAAACATGTGTACGCAGATCAAGTTTGAAAATCGCCCCGATCGGACGTCTATATCCTATAGCTCCCATAGGAACAATCGGATATATCTAGCAAAAATTGATGATATTTCGCGCAGTGTAAAAGCTATTGACATGAATTTTTCCAAATCGTATTTTTTTATGCATACCTTGATCAGGGTAAAAGCGCGTGGCAATCGGACGTCTATATCCTATAGCTCCCATAGGAAAAATAGGGTAAAATCGGTCCAAATTTTATGTTTTTCAGAATATTTCGCGCTGTGTAAAAGCTATTGCTATACATTTTTTCAAATCGTATTTTTTTATACATTCCTTCATCAAGGTGAAAGCGCGTGCTGATCGGACGTCTATATCCTATAGCTCCCATAGGAACAATCGGATATAACTTTCAAGAATGGAAAATATTTTGTGCAGTGTAAAAGCTATTAACATAAATCTTTCCAAATCTTATTTTTTTATGCATACCTTGATCAGGGTAAAAGCGCTTGGCGATCGGACGTCTATATCCTATAGCTCCCATAGGAACAATAGGGTGAAATCGGTTAAAATTTAATGATTTTTAGGATATTTCGCACAGTATATAAGCAATTGACATGAATCTTTCCAAATCGTATTTTTTATGCATACCTTGATTATGATAAAAGCACGTGACGATCGGACGTCTATATCCTACAGCTCCCATAGGAACAACAGGGTGAAATAGGTCCAAATTTGATGATTTTCTGAATTTTTCGCGTAGTGTGTAAGCTACTGACATAAATTTTTCCAAGTCTTATTTATTTACGCATATCTTGATTAGGGTAAAAGCGCTTGCCGATCGGACGTCTATTTCTTATAGCTTCCGTAGGAAAAATAGTTAAAGGCTGCGAAAGTATCCCTATTTTTCTATTTTTATATGACATTTTTGCAGTATAAAAGCAATTGACATTAAACGATGAAAATCTAGTTTATTTATGTATACCTTATTCCTTTAACTACTTTTTTACTTTTAGCAATTTCGGCAAAGTCTGCAAGGGTATTAAAACTTCGGCTTGCCGAAGTTAGCTTCCGTTCTCGTTTTTGTTTAAATCTTTAAAGAACCTATTTTAAAGGTGCAATTTTTGAGGCTCACCTCTATATCATTGCCGAAAACTAAAAATCAACTCTAGAAAGAGATTTTCTCAAAAGGAAAATTTCTCAACACTGTGGCCAAATAAACAACAGCTCTAGTCAGCTGGTCAATTGGAATTTCTCCTTCTGTTTTCATCGACCACGACAACCCTATGAAAATCTCAATCTGTCGGTTGTCTAAATATTTTCCGGCTTGCTCGTTTGTAAAAAAACTTGAATACGCTCTAAAAAAAAAAGGCATAGAAAATTGTTATACGCAAAGATAATGTCGAAAAACAGAACTAAACTGCGCGGCCTACAGAAAGTGAATGAATGTGTTGTGGGGAAAACAGCTCATGAGTCGGAAGAAAAAGCTGCAACAAGTCGGGGAAATGAGAGTGAGCAGCTGGAGTCAAATATGTCGCCGGAAAACCTGGAATTTCTGGAATTTCTGGACGACCTGGAAGTTCCAGTTCCGGAGGAAAACACAGCAAGTTCAGTGCGAGAGAAAAAGCCCCTGCCGCGGGCACCTAAAACTAATTCAACTTCTAATTCCAACACCAATCAAGAGGCTGTGGAAAATCATCGGAGGATCTACCGCCAACTGGGCATTCGCATCCCAGAATCGCCGCCGGAACACCCTTTAATGGGTTATCGCTTTGTTCTTAAGCTTTTCCTAGCCACTTCCAGTGACTCTGTGGATTTCCTCAATTGGTCTGCTAATGGTCGCGAACTGGAGTTGCATTATCAGGGCCTTCAGGAGCATTTGTCCAGCGGTCGCTCTATTTTCCACTGCCGGAATACCTTGCAATTCACGGATCTCCTGCTATCCCATGGATTCGAGCGTGTTTGGCCGCGGGAGGAGTCTGATCCTCCGGTTAATGAGGCATCCAGGATCCTGCTGATCTATCAGAACCCCAATTTTGCTGTAGGCCAGTTGGAGAAGTTGCAATCGCTGGTTGAGGAGAGCCAGAAGAATGGGGCGGAGGCGGATCCGGATCCGGAAAAGAAGACGGAGGTTCGACTCCCACCTCTGCACCTGCCCAATGCCGCTCACATTGCCAGAATGATCCGGCGCGGAGATCTCTGCTCCACTTCCTACACCTGTCGCTCTCCTCTGCAGGTGGCCCGATGTCAGTTTCAAACCCTGCTCGGCTATCAAGCGGACATGGGGGTCCTCAAGGAGCGCAATAGCCACGATCTCTTTAACAAACAGATTATGGCGCAATTGAATGTGAAACGGGGTCGCAGTGCCATCAATAATGCCCTGATGGACTTGGCTCCCAGTAAAGGTTCCTTGGCCAAATTCGTTAAGCCCCACGAATCGGTCATCAATATAGGAATCGGACAGGCGCCCGATTATGCCGGTTACTATGGCAAGGTGGAGCTATCAAAGGTCAACGAATTCTTCTCGGAATATCTGCCCCGTTATGGCAGTAAAATCACCGGCTACAAGGATATAGTAATGGATGCCACCAACAAGTCTATTGGCTTCCAACAGAATCTGCCCATTGGCATGGATTATTCGGATGATGAAGACGATCCCCTCGCACCGATTTCCTCGGGTCTGGAAATGGATTTCCTACCCTCCACCTCGGCAGCGGGAAAGTTGAAATCTTCTGGACGCAAGGCAGTGGAGGATTTGGACCTGGAGCAGGCCATGCAGGAGTTATGTGGCGGTTCGAATCCCAATCCGGAGGATGAGGTGCCACAAACCAGCAGTTCCAGCAGCAGCAGTAAGTTGAAAGCGAAACCGAAGCCTAAACCAAAGGCTAAGCCACCAAAAAGGTTGGCCAAATTCCTGGAGTCCAGCTCCAGTGAAAACGAGGACTCAGAGGTCCTTGAAGAAACCAAGTCCAAAAAACCAAAGAATATCAAATTGAAGGCAGAGGAAGAGAAAATCTCCTTTGTTGTGGAAATCGAAGTGCATTCCGATACGCAAGAGAACGAGGAAACAATCGTCAAAAAGGAGAAGGATCAGGAATACGAGGACGACGACGAAGATGAGGACGATTTGGAGGAGGAAGACGATGACGATTACGTTGACAAAAATGTCCAGTACCGGAACGCTCCAGAGCCACCAAAAAGACGACGCTATGATCTTCGCAAACCCAAACGAAAACCTCTTTAATGTCATTATAATAATTAGTTTAACTATGTGATAAGTCACTATCGCAACTAAATAAATTTTAAGATACATCTAATGGAAGATTGCAAGGCTGAAAGGAAAAATCGCTTGCTCATCTTTCCTCAAACCAATTAAACGTTAATTAATTATTTTTAAAAGTAAGTTTATTTGTAGAACATATGGTACTAAACATAAGGTAACAAAGAGTAAGTATGTATTTATTGCTAAGTCTAACGTATTTTTTAAAGGACTTAAGAAATATAAAATACCAAACGTCTTTTGTCTAAAAACTAATATATTTCAAATAATTTAAGAGTGTTTTTCTAGGCTTTTAAACAATAACAAACTCCTGTTTAAATACAAGAGACGTGTTAAAAATCAAAATGGCTTCAAAATCTCTTTAATTTTACCTTCAGACGTATTTTTTGGTGCCACAGGTCTCACATTTTCTTGACCATTAACCTCGGCCATATCTTTTGTTTATTCAACTCGAATCCCATTCTTTTGAGCATCTCCCATTCTGCATATCTAAACCTTCCATTATAATAACTTTTGTTGGTCTCGTTCGAAGGCAATAAGTCTGGACATATGGGCAATTAAATCGCTTATCGCCCTTTGATCTCTCACGCCCTCAGTGCCCCATTACCGAGGCCAATCAAAAGTGTAATATCATCTGGAAATATCTTACCAATTCGAACCGAAAGCCAGCACCCACACGAACTCACAGGCAAAAGCGAAAAAAAAAACAAGACGGAAAATAAAGGAAAAAACCAGACAGGGGCACAATCAGTCGGATGTTTACAAGTTTTATGAGCCACCAAATAACAAGATGAACAACAGGCAACCGAAAACGAAACCAGAACCTAAAGCGAAACTTAAACGATACTTGATTCCAATGGGGATTTGGGTTGGGAACTCGAACAGCATTTGCAAGAGGCGCAAAAATAAGAATTTTGTATATAACTCAGCGTGAGCCGAGACACGATTTTTATCGTCTTTAATTTGCTTTTTATTTGATATCATATTTCAGGACAGGCGGACGGCAGGGCGAAGCTCTTTGGGGCTCACTCCCAGAACTTTCAAGCGATGAAAACAAAAGCCGGTATCCTCTTATTTACCCCACTCCTCATCCTCCCTCTCCCCGCAAAAAAACACAAAACCCCCAAACAGATTTTTCGGTTGGCAAAGGAGGGAACCTTGAGTCGAGACGTCATAATGTCATAAAAATGTCACATACTTTTAATAACTTTATGACAGCTACAAAATCATAAACAAAATGCTCTGACAGCAGCACACGAAATGAGAGAAGCCGAGGGATTCTGCGGTTGAGATCTTTTGGGAGTCGTCATAATGAGATGTGTCATGTTTTGCCTTCTGAGAAATGTTTCTTGTCCTCCATTCCAGTGGCTTTTGCCATGATTGCCCATCGAGAAGCATGAACGGATGGGTAGGAGAATAAACTCGATGACCAGGCTGCCTCTGCCTCTGCCTCCAAGAGTCTCAATTATAAACATGACAGCCTGATTATTAAATTTGATGTTTAAACGATGATCTGAACAGGAGTGATATTTGATATGGGGGTGGATATAGTGTGTTTTGGGTGGCACATCCATAAATTAGTTCTTAAGTTCTAATAATATATATATAAATATATATATTAAATTTGAACTTGCAAACTTGACAAGGCAACATGATATTAAACCTTGAATTGATAAGTGGTAAGTTTATTTATATTTAGTTCATAAACACAGTTTTTTCCTCATTAACTATTTCGTGTTTTTATCGATCTCCTATAAAAACATTTCAATTATTTTGTTAGGTACACCTATAATTTGTAAATAATGTAATTAATATTATGGAATACACAAAAATTATTTAGTTTCATTATTTACAAATTTTATAATAATAATTTTTGTGTATTTCATAGCAAGAATATATAAAAATTCAATAATACTTATATATTTCAATTAAATTCATAGATCTTAAAGCGTGAAATAAAAGAAAATTGTTGCTCAATAAAATTCGAAAAATCAATAATCTATTATTATTACTTACTTATTACTTATATTTAATTACTTTTTACTTTTAATTGTAATTTTTGTCGTTTACTTCAAATTTCTGAAAACTTTAATTCAGATAATCCTACACAAAATATTTTAATGTTGTTGTTAAGATAAATACCTATTCTTGGGATATATAAAAATACATAAAGGGAACCCCAAATTCTTTGTATAATATATCCCTTTCCCAGTTTTACCTTACTTACCAACTTTTTTCTCTCACGCACCCATTTAATATAATCCATACTCACACGCAGCAACACACCTTTTGGCCAAAGGCCGCAATCTGAGCTTTAGTTTCAACACATAAATTCGCTTTGCGACAAAGCGCGCCAGTATTAAATTATGGAACCGGGAATGAAGTCGGGACTTTTGCTGCATTATAATGAAGACCATCGTGTGGGGAAGGGGCAGTGGAGTTTCGGGGGAGAGAAAGGCCCTCCGAATGCGGAGTTATTAAATGCCAAGTTATTTGTCGTTTAGCTGGAAATCCATGCAGGTCGGCAGTACTTTAACTTCTGAGACTCACAAACTTTTTTGAGACTGCTTTATGGGCTTGAGTAGGAAATCTTTACGAGTTTCTGGTGGTGAGACAAATTTATTGGCAAGACATTAATGTTTTCTTTACTGTTCGTATTTCTCTCTCCTCTCTGTTATTTTTCCCATTTTTTGTCTGACTTTAATATGGAGTCGTAAAGATTTTTAATGATGCAAAGCGATGGTAAAACTATTTACATATGTATCTTTATGCTTTATGGGGGCCAACACGAAAAGATCTTTCTCTCTCCTTAAGGTTTGGCAATTTGTCTTTTGGTGGGAAAATGCCGAAGGAAATGAGGTGTTGAGTGTGGGTTATGTGATTATAGGAAAGGGAAAGAGGATTCATAAATAGATGCCAATTTAAAAGTTTATACAAGTGGAAATTTTGAAAAAGCCATTTACAAATATTATCATCACTGATTGGCCATATCATCGATCAAAAGATTTAGTAATAAAATTTTGATTTCATTTCAGAATAAACTTTTTTTTATGACCTTAAACACATAATTTTATTCATATTCAAAACTTTTCTTCTGCGGGAGAAAGCCTTAACTCTCGATTACCAACAAATCGAAACTCAATTTACCAGTTTCTCCGGGTAAATAATTTGTTGTACATTTGCTAAAAACTTTGCGCTTATCTAAAGGCTTTTTCGGAATACAACTTTCCAAATAAGCTGTACACGGAATGTAAAACTAGCCACAAATGGCAGTGAAACTTGCTCCTGTGAGTTTGGCGTGTCCTTGGGCTTTCTTTCCATTTTTGCGAGCAGGTAGGGAGTTATTTCATGATTGCACAAATGCAAAATGCATAACAATCACAATTGCACAAAATATTTCGCCAGCAAATTGGGATTTATATGTATGAGATATGGCCTCGTTCCATCTGCTTGGCAAACTTTCCTCCAAGGAGGTAAGGCACTGAAGTAGCTTACCTTCAAGTGTTGTAACCCAGTTCCGAATGGCTTTTTTATTTGCCAATGGCTACAGTTACGGATGTGGTTATGGATATAGAGATGCTTCCCAGGGGGTGCACTTCGCAAAGCGAATTCCAAGTAGTTTATGCAACATTTGCTAAAATCTACCCAAAAAGTTAGCGCAAACTTTTGATCGATGTGCTGGATGGCTTGCAATTATGTGAACACTTGTACACTTTACAAAAATAACTTTAATGTGGGAATGGGAAGTTTAGTTTTTTTTATGTGAAGCTGGTAAATATAATTTTATTTATTTAATTCTATAATTCACAATGTATTAACAAATAAAAACGTAAGTTTTTTAAGTTATTATGTATGTGAATACGTAAGTATATTTTAAACTGGTTTGGAAATTTTCTTTATTTGTTGCTTTATTTTACGATTGCTGTTATTATAACTTTTATATTTTTCTGCTATAATATAATGTTTCTGTAATAAAATATTATGTTATTATGAAATGAAATTATTATGAAATTTTATTTAACGAAGTTGACTATAATATACTATCATCAGTAATCTTCCTCGAGATAGGGCACACAATAGCAGGCTCCTGGGGTATTAGATCCCAGCCAGCGATGGTATTGATTGACCCTGGTATAAACTCCCGGGGATCGGGGTCTGGCACATCCGGTGCCCCAGGAAACAATCCCCGCCAGCTGATATTGCCCCGGCTGCTCATCGAAGGTCGTCTGAAGTGGACCTCCACTGTCGCCCAAGCAGGCGTCCTTGCCACCCTCCGAAACATATCCAGCACACATCATATTATCCGTAATGTGACCTGGCTTATAGGAAGTCGAGTTCCGGCAATCCGATTGGGATAGTACCACCACTTCCACTTCCTAAATATTATAAATTTTATTTGTATCATTTTTAACTATCAACTACTCTCTCACCCTTAAAGTATCGCTGGAAAATCCTCCTTCTGTTTGAGATCCCCAACCAGTGACTATGGCCAATTCGTGATCAAAACTATAGGATAGTATGGGCAAACAAATGGGCCTTAGTCGTTGATTCTCCATATCAACCGGTTGATTTAGGCGTAGAACTGCAATATCGTTTTCAAAACTTCGGGGATTAAATAGTTCATGGACCTTTATCCTAGATACATTTCTCTGTATTACGATATCCTCATTTGTATGACTACGATTGTGTTCGAGAAACCGCAGGGAAATAAGTTCTGGTGGAACACCCTCCACACAATGAGCTGCTGTTATAACATATAGATCATTGATCAGTGATCCCGAGCAATAAAAGCGATCGTTAATCAGAATCACAGCCATCCAGGGATATTGATGAACTCGGGTCTCCTGACCACCAACGATTTTATATAGGGTGTTAATCAAGCCACAACGACATGTAACACAATTCCTTTCTGAGGGCAAATCGAATTCAGGAGGTCTTGAAGTCGTAGTTGTAGTTGAAGTTGAAGTTGTAGTTGAAGTTGTAGTTGTAGTTGCAGTTGTACTTGTACTTGTAGTTGTCCTCCTGGTTGTCGTTGAAGTTGTATCTGTTACTGGACTTGATTCCGTAGTTATTGGTGGTAAAAAAATCGAGCCCAGCCACTCAAAAACATTTCCATCTTTTGGACGAATTCTTATTTCGTTTTGACCACAGCACAGACCGCAAAGTAAACCGATCAAAAGCAACTGAAGCTTCATCTTTCTTGGACTCTTCACAACTAAACTGGATACTGTGATGGATGATCCATTTAAAGCAGAAAATCTGCTTGCTAATCACGTTTTATTCTATCACCTAACTGGCATCGTCTGGCTGGGCAACTTTTCATTTTGGCAACACATTTTCCAGGCTGTCGCACAAATGAATTCATGAAATGTTTGCCAGCAAAGTGTAAATGCCTCTCAGGTAAACTAACAATCAGGGTCTGAACTGACAGGAAAGGGGGCTATATTTGCCAGGGGTTTTTGGGACAGTCTACCACAAGGTTGCACTTTTCATTAATGCTTAATTAAAGAGCTTTAATGAGGTCGGGAATTATGTAACTTGATTTCTAGAGAAGATTAAATGGTGCAGGCGTTTGGAATAAAATACTGTTAGAGCTTACTTTTAATCTTGAGAGTTTTATTATATATTTTTCCTAAGTTAAATATCATAAATATATTTTAAAATAAATTATAATAAATATTTTAAGCTAAGAAAATTTATGAATATACAAAAATTCATAAGTTTTTCTCTTATGTATATCTCGCTGCTTCTCTTCTGATATATTTTTCTCCCTAATTTCCTTGATTAAAACAGCACTTCGTAATTGACAACTTTAATGAATTCCCTGAGTACTTGTCCAACTATTTATCCAACATTATGCAAATCAGCCGCCCAAATCAGCGTTCCAATCAAGACTTGACACTCCACACATTGTTGCCATGTCCCGCAAGTTTCCATTTTCCTAAGATTTTCCCGCCACTTGTCATTTGCGTCTGTGTAAGCTGGCACAATAATCTGTAATAGGCTTAGGCATGAAATATTGACGCTTAGTGACCGCTTAGTGGATGCCAAATGACTAAGAAACATCATCTCGTTGGAAAAACTCCAGCCCCAAACTCCAAGTGTAATTAGAAGAGCTCTGAAAATTAGTGAAAGCATTTTCATAACAATTTTCGTATGTGTGTGTTTGTGTATTTGTGGAAAACTAAGCCGCTTAGGGGACTGTGAGCAAAGCTTTTCGACTTTGACTAATTGAATTTTTGGGGTATATCCATTGAGGCGTAGCTTTAACCCCAGCACACGACTTCAATTCCGATGGCCACGCCCACATTGGGCAGTAGGCTTCATGCTTCAACGCCTAAATGGTAGCATTTCCCCCAGTTACATTTTATAGACTCCATTCGGCAGACCAGAGAACTTGATGAGCTCAATTGGAGATTTTAGGGGGGACATTTCAAGGGGCAGCACCTCAGTAAATTGTCCAATTATAAAACTGCGTAGGCCAGGTAGCCAGTTCAGAAACCAGAAGACTAGAAGACCAGAAGCCAACTCTACGGGGAAACTCGAGACTCATCCACATGTTTCTGTCACATTTGATAGTCGCTCCTCTCGCTTAATTGATATTTATGGAAATGGGATTCTGCCGGAAAGTGGAGCACATGTGGGGAGATTTACAAGCCACAACATTGAACTTCATTGCGGGGGGAGCTCATTAGAGAGTGGGAGACACTTGGCTGCATTCAAACTGGGAAAACAATGCTGGAAAGCCAGAAAAGTAATCCACTGACCCACAACTGCAGGCAGGAAAAAATAAGAAAAGCAGCTGGAGAGCAGCTCTTGACCAAGAAATATATGGCTTAATTGTGGTAAAGTAATAAACATGTCCAGAGTGGGTAAAAAGTTTTGGTTGCCAAGAAGTTTCGCCCGTTGTTTGTGGTCGCCAGCCGCAAAAGAAAACCAATTAAAATGGCACAGAAGCACAAGTCAGAAATTAGAGGAAAAGTAATAACTGACCTGAGTTTGAAGTACAAAAAAAAACAGAAAACAGATAAACCAACTGGAAACTTCTATAAACTATCGATGCAGACACTTCTGAAAAATCGTTGTACATTTTAATCAGAATTTGTAACTATTTCTTAGTATAACTTTAGACCGTTTTATACTTAAACTCAAAGTCATACATCTAGTCTTAAGTTGTTTACTCCAATTTTTGATCATGCTATGAGGAATTTTATAAGAGGGCTTAAAAAAAATTACATCGGCATAATCTTTAAAAAAATTGGATTGCAAATAAAAAGGATTTGGTTGCAAACTGAACTATTAAAAACCGAACTTAACCATACATATCTTTAAAATAAATATTTAAATAAATATAGAAAACTGTGTTGGCATAAATAATGGCAGTCAGTGGTTGCCAATCATGTAATAAAATAAATTCGATACAGCCTTTAATTGCTCAACACAAGTCTCCCTTTCACAAACGAAATATTTGATTGCAAAATATATTATTTAGTACAGGGAAGTTATGTTTATCTCAATGAGAACCGAATGTTTCGCATTGCGTAGGCTGATCGGCGTGAACATGATTTAATGGCAAAAACGGGGAAAATATTTATGCACACACACAATATCTTGACTTGTGGCAACTACTTAGTTGTCGAACATGAGCTCTTTGGCCGCTATCGTGACAGCATCGGGCTTTAAAATACAGCTTACAAAACAGCAGGCAAAGCAGCCAAAACATTCCAACAACATTCAAGCGGCTCCGACGACTTTTAATTAAAACCAACATTTTCACAGGCCGCCGAACAAGCTTATTAACAGTTACCCGACCCAAACTAAAAAATAAGAAAACAAAAAAAGAAGGAAAACAACGTCTGTCAATTGATAAACAAGTCAACTGTCACTTAGGCCCAACATTGATAGCGACTCAGCGAAGCGGCCAACGTTAATCAGGCAAAGTGTCCGGCTCCGACTTCGAATACGAATACAGATACGAATACAAATCCGAATCTGAATCCGAGTCCAAGGAGTGGAGTGAAGTGGAGTCCTGCCCCGAGGACCGGATCCATGCCCCCGACTCCTTTTGGAAACTCCACTTGTTGCTGGCGGCTGATGGCGATAAGCAGCGACACATGTCACAAGATTTTTCTGCCTTTCTGCCCCGTCTTTTTCGCTTTTCGTTTTTCCTTATATTTATTTTAATCAAAAGTGGAAATTAAACGCGGCTAATGAAGATTTTAATTGCGTGCAACGGCGAGGTTGCAGTTGCATGTGGGTTTCGTGGCTGTCTGGCCAGCATTACTCCCATATCTATAAATATGTGTACGTACATACATATAAATGGAGAGTGCATGCAACACATAAACTTGCAACTTAGGATTTACATGATCAGCGTTTGTTGCAACACGCAATCAATGTGCGAAAGAGAGGGCTCCTAATCAACTTCGGCTAAGCCGCTTATGACAGTTCGTAAAGCACAGTGGGCCAACAAGGAGATGGAAGCGGTAAAAAATCGGGATACAGGGGGAAAGTGATTGCGGATACTCAGTCAGTTTTAGTGCACTTAATCTGCCATTTGACATTCATGACTTATCGTTTTGACTGGTCGATTACCCCCTTAAATGTTAAATTTCATAGGGATTGCTTACATCTCAGCATTTTATAATTTAAATGTATTTTTTAAGTTTTTTATGATTTCAAAAAAAAATTTAATAAAAATAATGCTGTTAACAGCTGGTGTTCTTCTGGTTCAACATTTATTATTTCTTAGTATTTTCAATATAAGTCAAATACGCATTTCAAAAAAGTTTTTATTTATGGATTTTAATTTCTGTTGTTAAAAATTTTAAAGTTTTTTTTTCGAATTTTTGCATGATTTTAAAAGACAATTCTATCAAAACCCCTATATTCTACTGTTTTTAGAAGCATTTAATCATATAACAATTGTTTTCATAAGATATGCATTATTTGCGATATTCAAAACTAAAGTTTAATACTAGAACACATTTCAAAAATGTTTTGTAATTATTGTCTTATATATCAAGGCTTAAAATAACTGGAAAGCTTACCTAACTTTATCAACTATTTATATACTTTCACCGACAACAGTTACATTCCGTCCAATTAACCCTATACACCAAGTCCATTCTATTGATACACACGCTATCAACCAGTTAAAGAGCAATTGATTGCTCAGAAAACATACCCATCAAAATCCTTTGTCATGCACCCAATTTACATACACAGAGCAGGTTTCCCCAACTGCGCTGACCTCCCAGCAATTTCCGCCCCCAGCCAGAAAAAAGAAAGGAAAATGTGAAAAATGTCACGCTTCATTTGCTTTAACCGTTCAAACGGACACCTGGCCCAAAGGTAAACCCCCCCAAAGGAGAGAGAAAGAGAAGGCAGAGAGCAAATGAAAGAGCAATATAGTAGATACAAGTAGGGAAAAAGTCAACATGGCACACAAATTCCATGAGAGACGTGAAAACAAATCGAATTGGACAGATCGATTAGGCATACAAATGTGCAATTAGAAGTGGAAAGTTCACTTTGTCCACTCGAGATGGATATGTATGCTCCGATATATATATATAAACGGCGGATGTGTGTATGTGGGCTATATAGGTAGCTACCCTTTGCCCAATTAGGCGTTACAAATTGTTAGATAGATGACAGGAATAGAAACAGGAAGCGGAAACAAACAGCTAACGAGCCATGTAAAAGAGATGACAGCCAGGTTATCTACATCCCCTTTCACAACTGCCTCAATTAATTGAATTAAATTTTGTGAGTAATTTTTTTCGTAATTTACGCGCCATTCGGTTAACCAATGTCTGACGCTGGCCACAAATTTCAATAATTACCGACAGTTTTTAATTATCCCACAGAGCGAGAAATTCCGCAGGGTGAGGGCGGTTTCATTGCCCAAAATAGTTTAAACAGCATTTAATTATTATTTATGATTGTTTAGCGCATTTTTACTGAAATTGATTTATGCGGTTTTCTCGTGTCTGGTCAAGTTTATTAATTTGTTAAAGCCGGCAGCGATTTGACACAAAAGCCCATGCAACACCCACTTTTGGACACATATGTGGGCCCATGTCATGCCGCCTGCCCATTACAATTACATATTAATTAATAACAATTTTCTTTTCGGGACGGGCGTTGAACCATGTAAAGCTATTAATAACAAATATTCGAATTCATTTGG